CGCTTCTGCGGAATGACACTCGCTGGTCGAATACGTTTTCCATGATCAGACGATAACTGGAGCTCGCGCTCCATCTGGATGACTTTGGCCCAGACTTATCTCCTCTGGTTCTAACTGCAGCGGATAAGAACTGCTTGCGAACGCTTATGAACGAGCTCAAGAAATTCGAGTCTGTCAGCAAAAAACTTCAGGAGAAGGACGGACTGACATCCGTCACGTTCGCGTGATGTTCGACAAGCTCATCAGCGTCTTTCCGGTTTCTTGTGAGTGTCATCTCTCCCATAATGCGCGCATCGTTGCGTTCCCGAACTTTGAGAACGGTGTTAATAAAATACTTTGTGAACACGATTTGGATCTCACCTCGTCTGAACGAACGGCCGTACGACCGCTAATGCGCTCCAATGAGGAGATCAATACTGAGCCAAGTGACGAGGAGTTGACGTTTGCGGAGGCTGCTGCGTTTCAAACATTGATATTCCAGCCGTTGAGTCGAGCTACATGAACCTTGACTGGATCCCCCCAACGTCCAACAACGTTGAGCGGCTATTTTCTCAAGCTGGGCTTGTTTATAGTGATCGTCAGCAGTCAATGCACCCTGAAACACTCGAGCAACTGTTATTTCAGGAAACGCTAGCTTGGGGGAGGGCGTGCGAAACGAGAAGTGCCGCCCCCACAGTTCAGGCGGATGGATCCTTCTAGAAGGTTCCACGGTCGCCCTACATCTGCCTTTCTGTATTACATACTGAATCTAAGTTAAACTGAGCCTGTATCTGATTGGCTACAACTCTACACCTATCATATCTGATACCCTCACTCTCCCTCAGGCTTGCGCGTCCCCCAGTCTTGCCATTTCCGAAATTGCGCTGTAGGCCAGAGGTGCCGTTCCCCGTCGGATTAGTCCGACCCCGAGTTACCCACGCCTGCCTTGTGTGTACCTGTTTACTTGGGGCTTGGATAGGTCCGTCTGGGAGGATGGCTGTGCCTCCTGCATCTGCTGCTGCTGCTAGCCCGGCTTCAGCCGCTCCCTCGCCTCGCTCGCCGACCGTACGGCCTGTGGTGCTTCCAAGCGACTCTTTGGTGACACCACCGACCGCTATGGCTTCGACCACTTCGTCTGAGCCCCACACGTCGGACGAGGAGCTCCTTGAGAGCTTCCTCGACTGGGGCCCGACAGCGATTTCGGTTCCCGTGCTCATGCTCGTTCTCGCGCTCGTTCGTCGACTCCACCTGCTCCTACTGAAGTCGTTGCTGTTCCGGCTGCCGTGGTCGATGCTCCTGCTGTTCCTGTGACTCTGCCATCACCTGTACGTGCTCCTGTGGCTCCATCCCCATGCGACGCGGCTGCTGAAGCTCCTGGCTCAAGTCGTGTTCCTCCCCGTTCGGTTATGCCTCCTGTTGGTTCCTCCGAGACCGCTATTGCGTTTGGCGTGTCTGGCGAAGACGTTACGGAGTTCTGGAAGACGCTTCAGCGGCAAAGTGTTCCGTTGGACTACGGCACCATGCTTCCCAATATTCTTCATGGCTCCATCGGGAATGTTGCGACTCTGGAACGCTTCTTTGAAGCCTTGGTTCCGGGTACGTACTTGGTGAGCGCGGGCCAGGATGACGTCGGTCACTGTTTAGTCGTGGTGAAGACTGGTCCCAACGCCCGACTTGTCGTGCTTGATGGGTACTCGGCCGACCACGATCCACCGATGGAAGTGGCTCCTCTCTCGAACTACGAGTGGATTTAGAGTGTGAAGTGGATTAGTCGCATTCAGCTTCAACTTGGGTACGTGTGCCGCCACGGCAGACGCGCTTCGAAGACAGCGCGGAACCGGAAGAGACGCGTGATGTAGCAGTAGCTTCAACTTGTAGGGGATGTAGTACGGGAATACATGTAGGCTTTTGAGCCCCCC